CGCCCTTCCGCCACATAACCCCCCCCCCCCCCCCCAACCCCACCCGAATGACCACTATTTGACACCAGCACCACCATACGACCATACGAACCACCATTCCCCAGACACGATTAACCACCAATTCTCCCCTGACGATTCATCATCATCATCATCATCATCACCATCACCATCACCATCACCATCACCATCACCATCACCATCACCATCACCATCACCATCACCATCACCATCACCCCCTCCTCAACCCGATCTGATGGAAGTCTAGGCGAGTCAAAGGCAAAGGCAAAGGCAAACTCGGAAGACACAAGTCACGCACCACCTCACCACCCCACCACCACCTCCATCCCCCCCCCCCCCCCCACACACACACACACACAAACACATTCCCCACACACCCAAGGGGGGTATGGATGGGTACGGACACCCACGTGCGACCGCACTCCAGCTCGCAGTCAACCACCTCGCCGCAGGTCAACTCCATGCCGCTCGCCCACACCTCGACAACTCGCCAGAGGCACACGCCCTGCTAGAATCGCTTGTCTTCTCCGTCCCGGTCGCATGGTCGTCTTCGCCCTCGGCTCCCTCTCCAGCACATCTCTCGGCCTTTGCTCTGGCTCTCCTTCACCACCTCTTTCCAGACACAAACCATGATCACCTTCATCGCCGCGCAAACGAACTCGTCCTCGATCTGCTGCTGTGGCAAGACCACGATGATGGCCCGGAGCCTCCGCCGGCCTCGCCGTATTGGCGATCCATCTACTCCCTCCTACTTCCGCCCACACATCGCCTTGCTGCTCGCTCCGCTCCGCAGCAAGGCGCCCCACTCGACGAGCAAGCCACCCACGAGCTCCTGGGCGCTCTCACCGCCTTTACCTCGGCCCTCGACTCGCGCCACGGCCGCCTTGAGCTCGCTGCCTTTTGGGCCGCCTCGCCGGCACGCGCTGCTGCTCTCTACCGCCACGTCTTCAAGTCGCCGGCTTGGTCCGTCGCCGCAGGCTCTGATCTCGGCCCGGACCTCGTTCACGCCGCCACTGCCGCCTCTGCCGCTCTGCAGGACGTCTACGCCACGGCTGCCCTCGACGGCCTCACCCTCGACTCTCTCCACCGGCTCCGCCACGTCGCCTGGGACCTCGTCGCGCCGGCTACGTCCGCCGTCCTCGTCAATGCCCTCGTCGCACTCGCCCTCGACGGCCCGCCTTCGGCTCTTGCCGCCGTCCAGATGGCCCTCCTCGCCCTCGACGCCCCCGACCTCCTCGCCGCTTTTGAGGCCAAGACCTCACTCGACTCCCGCACCGCCCCCGCCCTCCACGCCGTGCTTGATGCCCCGGCCGCTCCGCACCAGCCGGCCGTCTGGCTCGCGCTCTACGAGCACGTCACCGTCAGCGAGCGCCACGTCCTCGACGTCGTCCTCGACCTCGCCCTCGCCGCCGCAGGCACCGCCAATTGGCCGCTCCTCGCCCGCCTCGCCTCGCTCTTCCCCTGCCTCGCCTCGCTCTTCCTCGTCCTCGGATGGGACGTCGTCCAAGCGCCGGCTGCCCGCTCCGCGCTCCTCGCAGCCCTCGCTCATGTCCTCGACACCGACCTCTCTGCTGCCCCGCTTCCGCTGCCTGCCCCCTCGCTCGCCGGCGCTGTCGCCTCACTCGTCTTCCGCCTCCGCATCGTCGACGCCCTTCCCTCAGCTCCATCGCTCGACCTCCTAGACCTCCTCGCCCATCACTCGCCGCTCTACGCCCTCGCCGCGGCCCTCGACTTGCCGGCCGCCGAAAAGCTGGTCGTTGACCTTCTCGACGCTGCCCCGGGTCCGGCCGTGCTCCCGGCATCCGCCTCCTGTGTCGCTGACGGCACGTGGGCCCATGCCTTTTACGCACTCTTTCACGGCCTCTCCATCCTCTCTTCTTCGACATCAGACTCGTCTGTCGCAACAGCCGCGCTGAGCAACCACCTTGACGCTCTCGCTCCCGCCCATCCCTTGCTTCTTTCGGTTTGTGAAGCGCTTTACCTCCTCGTCTTTGCCCCGGCTCTCGCTCTCGCTCCCGCTTTCGACGGTCGCACCGCCATCGCCTCGCGCGAACTCCTCGACGCCCTCGTTGCACACCTCCCGCCCGTCCTTGCCCGCCTCGCCGCCAACCTGCGCACCACCGCCGGCCCGCCGGCCCTCGTTGCCCGCACCCGCTGGCTGATCGGCCAGCTCGCCTCGCTCACCCAGCGCCTCGCCATTGCCGCGCCGGCTGGCGACGACGCCGAGCTTGTTGCGCGCGTCCTCGCTCCTCCGCGCGACCTCGTCTCCATGTGCATCCGCCTCGGTGCCTACGACAAGGCCCGCGACGTCATCGCCTCTTTCGATCTCGGCGACGACCTCGCCGCCCTCGTCACGCGCGCCGAGCTCATAGACTCGGCCGCATCCTCGCTCGCCGCTGGCAGTCATGTCGATGCCTCGACCTGGCTTGCGCTTGACGATCTGTCGGCCGCTCTCGACCTTGCCGTCGCCGCCAGTGAACCGGCCCTCGCTCGCGCCACCTTGGCGCACACCCGTACCTCATTCTCGGCCTCGGCCGCAGTCCTCGACGTCGTCCTTGCTGCCGGTCTTGCGCCCGACAGTCTCGACGCGCCCTGGCATGCGCCTGATGCTGCCAGCGCCGCCGACGCCCTCGCTGCATCAGACCGCACCCGTGCCATTCTCGTCGAGCTCGACGGCACGCGCCTTGCCGCCGCCTCGCCTGCCCAGGCCTCAGCCCTCGCTGCCGCGAACCAGCGCGACCTCGCCAGCCTCATCGCCCGCGGCGAGCACCTCGCCACACCGCCTCTTGTCGCCGTTGCCGCTGCCCTGGACCCAGACGCCGTCAATCAAGACGCAGCCAAAGTCCTCGCTGACCAGCTCAACATCCCGGTTGCCGTCGCCGCTCTTGCCGCTCTCGAACAGAGTCTCGGCCTCCCGTCCGGTGCCACCGCGGCCTCACTCGGTTGTCGTGGGCTGCCAGACGAGCTCAGCCTCACTCCATCCCTCATGACATGGCTAAGCACCATCGCCTCGCCACTGGCCGCGCTCGCCGCCGCGCACCTCCTCCCTCTCGCCCTCGACACCAGCGGTCATCTCGAGCCGTCTGAACTTGCCGCAGCCATCGACGCCCTACCCGACTCCGTGCTCAAGCGCTGGGTCCTTGCCCGTGCCCGCTCGCTCGCTGTCTTTGCAGGCGTCTTCCTCGAAACCCCGATCGATTTACACGCCCAGTACGGCCAGATCCTCTGGCCAGGCGCAGACGACGAGCTCGAAGTCGAATCGGAGCCCGAGCCCGACTTTGACTCGGAGCCGGAGCCGGAACCCGAACCCGAGCCCGAGTCCGACATGGGAGACGATTCGTCGAACTGGGGCTCGCCCGCCGCCGTCCCCACCAAGCCGCCCCAGCCACAGCCGCAGCCGGTTGCTCTCAAGCGCGGGCGGACCTGGTGGAAGCGCCGCCGCAAGTCGTCCAAGGACGTCGCCGGTGTTGCCGCGGGTGTCGCGGCGTCAATGACCTACGCTGCCGGCTCGCCGGCCTCGCCAGTCTCGCCGGCGGGGGCGAACTCGCTCCCGGCCGGCCTCGACGCGGCTACACTCTTTGCGTCGACGCGCGCCACTCACTCGGAAGTCAGCTCGGTCTCAGAGACCTCAGGCTCGGTCTCGGTCTCGGTCTCGCCGCGGCGGGCGGGTGGGCTCGACGCCGACGTCATGGATGACTTTGATCCGCTCAACTCGACCCTGGGTGGCGGCGACGATGAGCTGGAGCTGGAGCTCGCCGCCACAAGGTCCACCACTGGCCGGTTCATGTTTCGAGCGCTGGTTGCAACCCGCGACGCCGACGGCGAGCTTCGGGTCCCACCTGGCCTGCAAAAGTCCCGCCTCGCCACAGGCTCTGACCACCGACGCATCTCGGCCGCGGACGTCGCCCGCATCCGCACCCAGGTCTCTGTTGATGGATGCGGCGACGAGCCCGCTCTCTACTCTCGGCTTGTCGATCAGCTCTTGGTTGAGGGCGCCTACGACGACGCACTCGCGCTGGCTAACGCCACTTTGCCGGGCGGTGCGCCCGACACCGTTCTCCGCGCCTTTATCAAGTACTCGGCTGACATGCCCGCTGTCGCCGCCGCCGTCCTGCAGCTCCGCGACAAGGCCGCCGCCGCGGTGGTGGTCCTCGAGCACATCAAGCAGTGGGACATCGACACGGGCGTCGACCTCCTCCGCAAGCTCGTGGCCTGGGGTCAGAGTGCGCCCGAGTGCATGGCGGCTGACGCGGCCGCCGCGCTCCAGTCCAAGTACGACGAGCTCAAGCTGGTGCAGGCCGTCATGCGTGCAGGCGTCGCGCTCCCGCGAAACTCTCTCCGTGTCAAGTGGCTTGCCCTCGCCTCGCGCATGGAGTCGTCACCACAGGCGGTGGTCGAGGAGCTCGTCAGTCTCGAGTCGGGTGAGTTTGAGCTTGCCCGTCAAGTCGCTTCCCGCTACGGCGCCCTCAACATGATGGCGTCGATCGAGCGCGACTCCATCGCCGCCCTTCTTGGTGAAGGCAAGTTCTCCGCCGCCATGCACCAGCTCAACGCCATGCACGACTCGGGCGTCTCAGCTGCCCGCTTCCTCATCGACTCGGTCGCAGGCCTCCTCGCCAAGCATCGGCTGTATCTAGTTGACTTTCTGCTTCAGACTCCTCCAGAGCTTGGTGTTACGCCCAAGGAGCGTGCAAGGCTCGAGCAGCGCAAGCTCGGCATCCGCGTCCTCTCGCTCATGTCGGAGACCCAGCAGCGCCGGTTTGCATCGCTTGAGGACTCCCCGGCGCTCATCGTCGAGACGCTGTTGATGAACGAGGAAGTTGCCTCTCTCTCAGCTGTCTTCTCCGCCCTTGGTGCCGAACTCGGCTCTCAGCAGGGCCTCATCATGACGTACGCGCTCAAGGCGCTTGCGCTGCCAACCGATGATGCCGCCGCCGCCGCGCGCGTCCGCAAGCGCTGGGCGCTCCGCGGCAACCCAGCGGCCGACGACGAGGTCCGCGGCGGCCACTACTACGCGTCGGCGCCGAACCTGCAGCTTGGCAAAGCGCTGTTCTCGCTCTGTCCAGACGTCGCCGACGCTGCCCACGCAGTGGTCGGTGTCTGCGAGGGCCTCTCAGAGCAGCTCAGACGGGTCGAGGCTGTGCCCATCGCTACCCCCGATGCCGACGCCGACGGCGGCCCGGCTGTCCTCACTAGGGTCCAGGCCGCGTCGATGCCTGCAAACGTTATCGACCTCGTCCAACGGCTACTCATGTTTGCCAAGTCGCTCTTCACCCGCCTCTACGCTGACGCGCTCGAAGCCGGCAGCACCGCCTTTGACCCCGAGGGTGTCTCGATGTGCGACTCGTATCTCTCGTACGTCGAGCTGATGAAGCAGATGTTCGCCGCCGGATGCACCACGCGGGCTTCGCTTCGCGATTTTGGCAATCCGACCTCGGTCCGGCTTGTCGTCGACGCGCTCGTCCGCGAGGACCGCATGCAGCTTGCCATCGATGTGGCAACCAAGACCGGGCTCGACCCGTCGACCACCTGGGCGAGATGGGGCCTCAACCTCATCCGGCTCGGCAACTACGAAGAGGCCCGGCGCAAGCTGCGATTCTGCTTGGCGAGGCCGGGTGGCACGTCGCCATCAAAGCGACAGGCCTCTGGTGCAGGCGAGGCGTCACGGACCCTGACCGAGGTGCTGGCGACGCTCGAGCGGCCGGCCCCGCTCTCGCTCGAGTTCCTCGAAGTCGCCATGTACACATTTGTCGGCGAGCCGCGCCCGGGCGCCATGGGGCAGTTCTTTGCCCAGTCGGCAGAGCTCAACGCGCCGGTCTCGGCCTACTCGAACCTCAACAGCGTCCGCCTCGCAGAGGCTCGCTTCTACCTCGGCAAGTATGGGACGCCGGTGGCGGAAATCGAGTTTCTTATGCGGCACGGTCTTCTTCGCGACGCGCTCAACGTTGTTGTCGCCTCAGCCGACGTCCCGCCGCTTGCCTTTGTCAAGCACGTCGTCGAACACGTTGTCGAGTTTGGCCGGCTCGACGAGATGCAGACCATCATGCGCGACATCGACCCGTCGCTCAACGAGTTCACCGAGCTCCTTGTCGCGTCTTGCGCGTACCTCTCCAAGCACGCCAAGCCCGTTGCGCTCTACGAGCTGCAGGTCTTTATGGGCGACCACGTTCGCGCCGCGCTCTCATGCATTCATCTATTTCTCCACGCCCCGTCGGCCCGCGCACAGTACGGCCACATGGAGCGAGCTGTCGGTCACTTTGAGGCCGCACTCGCCCAGCGCGACGCGCTCCGTGCAGCCCAGCGCCAGGCCAAGATGGCCTCTGCTGTCGCCGCTGGTGGCGAGCTTGGCTTCAGCATTTCCCGGCCAGTCGACACGCACGATCCGACCGACCAGATCATGGACAAGGCAACCATGACCCAGAACGTCCGCCGCGGTCGGCTGCAGCTCGAGATCCTTGCCCACTACGCCGAGACCAATGAGGCCGCGCCGTACAACCTGTTCGGGCGGACCAAGGAGCGGTGCCAGCTTGCGGAAGAGCTCCTCGTTCGCGACGCCTTCTCGCTTGCCTCGCGCATCATGGCCGAGTTCTCCCTCCCCTCCGTCCGCATCCTCTCGTACTCGGCAGCCCGGATGGCCGCCTCGGGCTCAGGTAACGCAGTCAAGTCGGTCGACAAGCTCCTCCGCAATATCAAGGGCACTGTGCCTGACGCCGAGTGGAACGCCGTCCTTCTCGCCGTCATTCAGACCTTTGCAAGCCAGGGCAAGGTCAAGGTCGCCGAAAAGTACGTCAAACAGGCCATCGGTGTTGCCACCGCTGTCTCGGGCTACATCGAGTGTGGCAAGTACAAGGCCGCCTACCTCCTCGCCGTCAAGCACCACGACGTCGACGAGGTCCGCCGCCTCCGCCAGTACGCCGTCGCCGCTGAGCCCAAGATCGCCAACCTCTGCGACAAGTACCTTGCGCAGCATCTGTAGCCGTAGCCTCCGCTCTCACCTCATACACAAACCACGTATTGTGCCCGGCTTGGTGCTCCTGTGTAGCTCTTGCTCGCTCCACCGCACTGCGCTTCACCACACCACATCACACACTCCTCTCCACTTGTCCACATGTCGCTTGCCGACGAGATCCTCGCTGTCGATCCGGGCGGCCTGGCGCGTATCGATCCGGTTGCACACGTTGCGCGCGCCGATGCAGTCGCGTGTCGTGGCAAGAACAATGCCAAGGAGTCGAGCAGTCAAACGATCAGCAACGAGGCCGACGGAGAGGACAACGATGGTGGTTTGGGCAGATCCACGGCCCGTGCCGATCAGCCTGCAACTCCGCTAGGCGCGTACCTGGCTTCGCTCGGCATCGATGATGGCCAGCATCGTGCACCGAGTCGCGAACGGATCCTTCTTCATGCACTCGTCGGCGATGCTGCTGGCGAGAGCTGCGTGGAGCTCGATGTCGCTGGTCCGCCCTCAGACAACGTCCTCGATGGTGCTGTCCAAGGTGTCCGAGCTGTCATTGACGAGACTTTCGGCAGCAGATCGGACAAAGTGCTGCCCACGCCGAGGCAGATTCCATCGGAACCGTCCGCCACTCCTCAAGCTGTGGCCACATTGATGGTAGCGGTTGGTGTGGCTTTGGCAGCCGGACTCCGTGGGTGTGGACTCTCGCTCTCGGCGACGGTGGCGACGACGATCGCCGTCGTGACAATGGTATTTGGACGGATGCTGGTGGATGCGCTCTCGAGGCAGAGCAGCATGTGTGCGCATACAATGCTCGGGTGCTCACTGAGAGTGCTGCTGGGTGAGCATGGGCGGATAGTGGCGGCGGCGAGGAGAGGCTTGCGAGCCATCAAGGAGCGCGAGCTACTTGCCCGCGGCTACCGACTGCCGTCGGAAGGCATGCCGCCGGTCTCCCGAATGGAAGCACAGGACGGTAAGCGACGACGGCGAGCGCTTGTTCCGCTCCGTGCCGCTCTGGCTACCGGTCTAACCGCTGCCGCCGCCGCCTGGGACGCTCTCCTCGCGCCCTGGCTCGCCACCCATGCAAAGCTGGTCATCCCACCGCCGCCGGTCGAGCTGGCCGAACCGACGAGCTTGCTGGCGCTCAAGTTCAAGCTCGCTCGCCTTGTTGCTGCTGCTGAGCTCCTCCAGCGGCGGAGTAGTGCTGCCGCAAAGGCCGTGGTTGTTGCCGGTGTGGCCGAGGAGGCGGTGCGAGCAACTGCCGCCGCAAAGGCCATGGCCGCCGCCCGGCTGGAGCTCGAGCTGGCGGTAGAGCGTGAGTCTGAGGCGGCGGCTGCAGCAGCGGCATCAGCGGCGGCAAATGCCCTCCGTCCGCCGCAGATTGTTCATCGCTCGCCGGCGGAGCGGTATGTGCGCGCGATGGCGACGCTGCGGGCGACGCTGGAGCACGTGGCGCGGGCTGCAGGTGACGCGGCGAGCCACGGTGAGGCGCTGGGTGGTGACGTCGGCACAGTGACGCCGAGCACGCTTGCCGAGTGTGAGGCCCAGTTTGCGGCGGTGGAGTCCGGAGTCGCGGCGATGCAGGCGGTAGAGTTGGCGAGCGCCCGGATCGAGCTCGCGCGGGCGCTGGGCGTCCACGCGCCCGAGACGGGCACCGTCCACGATGCGAGCGAGGGGAGCGGCGAGCAAGGCGATGCCGAAACGTACGGCGAAATCGACGGCGAGGGGCTGGCGGGGAAGGCGACGTCGCTGGCGGCTGATCTCCTCTCGATGCAGCATCGGGTCAAGACCGAGCCGATTCCAACGCTCGAAGCGTACACCGGGCCGGAGCCTCCGCTCGCGCCGGTCTCGTTGCCGCGGATGAGTCGTGGGCTCTCTCTCCTTGACGCGCTATCGGACGGCCCGCTGCCTGTGGCGTTTGCGCGGCGGCGGAAGGGTGACGCTTCTAGCAGCCAGGCGAAGGCGATCAAGGCAGCGCCAGTGCCGACGCCAGCGCCGGTGCCGACGCCAGCGCCGGTGCCGTACGAGCCGACGCGGATCCTGCCCGAGCTGAAGGACGTGCTCGGCGAGCGGATTGTCGGACGCGGCGAACAGGTGCATGCGCTCGACGATGGCGACGGCAGCGATGGGGGGGTGCAGACACGTTTAGGACTAGGTTCGGTTATCACAGGTTGCGCTGCTTCTTGGCCTTACGGCCGTCCTCGGACGGCGGCTCAGTGCCGCGCTTGCGGTACGAGGCCGAGGAGGAGGAGGCCGATGCGGCGGCACTGCTGCCGCCAGACTTTGCGGCCTTGGACGTAGCCTTCTTGGACTTGTTCCGCTTGCGGACGGTCATGTTCCATACAAGGTTGCGCTGCTTCTCGCAGCGGTGCGAGGCCTGGCCAAAGGTCTTGCACTGCTTGGATGTGACGTCTGAGCACTTTGAGTTGGACTCTGAGCAGCAGCACTCGCCAAAGTCGTAGAGGCAAACAAAGGGGGTGTGCTCAAAGTTCTTGAGGGCGAGGAAGCCCTCGTAAGCCGAGGTCGGCTTGCGGCCTGCGGGCTTGACGACACGGACGCGCGAGAACATGGGGTAGTGGGTCTGGCAGTAGAAGACGCGGCAGCCGACGTGGCGGCACTTGGTGATCCACTTGGAGCGCTTCTGCTTGGGGTTCGACCCGTTGACGCAGTAGTGGCAGCGGACGTACTTGAGCTCGGGCCTGCTTGCGCGCTCCTCGTCAGAGATGTGGCGGACAGTGCCGTTGGCGTAGACAGAGATGAGGCCGATCTCGCGCTCCCAGATGAGGATGTCGTCGTCGATGGGGAACTCGCCGTACTGGGTGACAAGGTACGACTGGTTGCCGCGGCGGGTCTCACGCGGGAGCGGCCGCGAGCCGGAGCTTCCGCCCGACGGCGGGCCGAGAGGCGGGAGCGGGGAGTCCGCGACGTGCTCGTGCGGCGCGGCCGATGACGGCGGTCGAGGCGAGAGGGTGGCGGCTGTGGCGAGCGAGGAGAGCGGCGAGGCGACACGCGGCGGGAGCGAGAGCGGTCCGCCGTCGAGCGGTCCGCTCGCCGGGTCGTTACCGAGCGGGAGGAAGAGTGGGATGGTCCATCCGGCGTTGGAGGGCGTCTCGGTGGAGATGTCCATGGCGCCGAGCTCGGCGGCGAGGCGGGCGGGTGAGATGGTGTCCTTGGCCTCGGGGTAGGGCTGGCCGGTGGTACCCGGAGCGGCGGCGCCGAAGCCGGGGGTGTCTGCGTCGATTGCGCGCGCAAAAGCCGGTTGTGCCGAGCGGGCGAGCGAGGCCGGGAACGGCGCACGGGCGGCAAACACGTCGTCGTTGTACTGTGCCCGCGAGTAGAGAGTCGAGTCGTGGTGGGCCTGAGGGGCGAGGGCGCCGGAAAAGTCCAGCGGCGGCAAAATGTCCGCCAGCTGCAGGTCGAGGTGCGACGTGGCAGTTGTCCGCGCAAGGCGGCTCGGCGAGTAGTCGATGCCCAGGAACGAGCCTGCAGGGGAGGAGGGGAGGACCATGCCGAGGTCGAGGTTGTCGGACACGTCCATGGCCGGATCAGGCTTGGGCCACCCGCTCACGCCGTAGTCCTCGGAGAGCATGTCGGCCAACGAGAGCGACGATGCCAGCAGCGGGCCATCGTCCGACTGGACAAAGGTGAACGCGGTCGACGCCGCCGCCGCGCCGGGCTCTGTGATCATGTCGATGGGCTCGCCGAGCGGATCGACCGAGACTGGTGTGTGCCTAGGCAGGCGCTCGCCTATCCTCGGTGTCTGGATCTCTGAGCCGTACATGTTCCCTGCAGTCGAGAAGTGCCCTGCACTGCCCCCAGCAGCCGTGCCCATGCCAGCCGCCGATCCAGCGCCAGCCGCCCCGGGGCCAAGACCTAGCGCTGAACCCGAAGCAAGACCGAGACCGGAGCCCTGACCAACCAATGGCGAGCCGGTTGTTGACCTACGATCAGGAACAACAACAGATGGTCGAGACATCGAAGGTGTTGAAGTTGCCGATGAAGATGACGACGCTGATGATGATGATGATGATGATGACGATGACGATGTCGACTCCATCGAGTTGTCAATGACGGAGCGAGAAAGCGGGAGAGCGGGAGAGCGGGAGAGCGGAAGAGAGAGAGAGAGAACAGGTGCGAGTTGTCAGACTTGTTGACGTCAGCAAGCAGTGAGCAGTGAGCAGTGAGCAGAGAACAAGAGGAAGAGCGGATGACGACAGAGACGGCGGCGATGGCGAACAAAGACAGACAGACAGACAGACAGACAGACAGACAGCAGCAAGATGAGGAGGATGGGGAGGGATAGGGAGGGTGTGGTGGGTGTGGTGGGTTCAGTGGGGTATGGGTATGGGTATGGGTATGGGTATGGGTATGGGTGGGTGGTGGTGGTGGTGGTGGTGGTGGTGGTGGTGGGGGATGAAGCGTCTGTGGTGGTGGGAGGTGGGGGTACGTGGGGAGGGAGTGGTGGCTGTGGTGGCTGTGGAGGTGGTGGTGGTGGTGGTGGTGGTGGTGGTGGGTATGGGTAGAGTGGTGTGTGGGGATGGGGGTGAATGGTAGTGGTCTGTGTCTGTGGGTGTGGGGGTGGGGGGTGGGGGGGGTGGGGGGGAAGGGGGGGACATACCAATGTCATTGGTAATTGGTTAATGGGTGTGGGGAGTTGGCGTGGGGGGAAGGGGGGGAGGGGGGGTTAATCCCAACGATTAATCCCCTTCACCAACGATTAATCCCCTTCACCAACGATTAATCCCCTTCACCAACGATTAGCCCCCTTCACCAACGATTAATCCCCTTCACCAACGATTAGCCCCCTTCACCAACGATTAACCCCCTTCACCAACGATTAATCCCCTTCACCAACGATTAGCCCCCTTCACCAACGATTAGCCCCCTTCACCAACGATTAGCCCCCTTCACCAACGATTAGCCCCCTTCACCAACGATTAATCCCCTTCACCAACGATTAGCCCCCTTCACCAACGATTAACCCCCTTCACCAACGATTAATCCCCTTCACCAACGATTAATCCCCTTCACCAACGATTAATCCCCTTCACCAACGATTAATCCCCTTCACCAACGATTAATCCCCTTCACCAACGATTAGTCTCCATGCCACCAACGATTAACAGCCAGTCAGCACTCCGCCCGTTGGCAGGAACTCCCACACAGCCACAGCCACACCTCACGCCACGCCGCCGACCTCCGCCCCCAACCTCATCTGTATGGGCCTCTTCAACCGCCGCAGGAAGCAGTCACTAGCCCCCGCCCCGCCCGCATCCCAGTCATCCGCCTCCACAGCAGCGCCGGGAGAGCCACGCCCGCCACAGCCGACACCATCGCCCACAGCAGACGATGCCGATGCCGATGCCAATGCCGATGTCGATGTCGCGGCCGGTACTGGTGCCGGTGCTGGTGCCAGCGTCCGTGGCGAGGACGGATCAACACGGCCTCTGCCGCATGCCGGTCATGATGAGACTGCCGACAGTGTTCGGACGACAGAGCCTGAGGGCGCCGAGGACAGCGAGGAGAACAGAGACCCGTGGCCGGCGGACGCAGACGAAGATCCGTCGTTACGGCTGAAGAGGGCTGTGTTTGGCGAGGTGGTGCGGAAGGGGAAGATTGGAAAGGTCAAGGAGATGCTGGCCGCCATGGAGGGCTGCGACCTGGCCGCCGGCATGCTCCAGATCGGCACCACTCCGCTGCATCTGGCGGTCACCGCTGGCTCCAAGGCCGCGGACATCATTCAGCTACTGGTCGCCCGTGGCGCTGACATTGCGGCGAGCCGGCCGAGCGATGGTGCCACCCCGCTGCACCTCGCCGCCACCGTTAAGGATCCAAAGCCGCTGCGGACCCTGGTTCGCATCGCTGTCGACCGCGGCATCGCCGAGGCGCTGCTCGGCACCCGTGACGCCAACGGCGCCATGCCACTCGACGTCGCTGTTGCCGCCAAGCGCAAAAAGGTTGTTGCCGAGCTCAAGAGCCACCTGCCGCCACCGCTGGCCATCGCCCCGCTCGAGAGTGATGACGCGGTCAGAGAGCTCGCGCTGGCCATTTTGGCCGGCAAAGACATGGCCGTTGTCGATGCCCTTGCGCCGCTCTCCTGGATCGCTCCTCTGGCCGGTCGCGAGCTCGGCCCCTCGCTCGCCGCCCAACTGGCGAACCGCTGGAAGAGCCGCGAGCCGCCCATCTCCGACGCATGGACGCTGCTACATCTTGCCACCGCGCAGGGAAACGTCCGCACCGTCACACTGCTGCTCGCTCGCGGTGGCGCGGTCGAGCAGCGCGCTGGTATCGCGGCAGACGCCGTCACCCCGCTGCACGTCGCTGTCGCCGCCTCGCAGCTCGCCGTCGTCAAGGCTCTCATCGACGCAGGTGCCCGTTTGGAACGCGACGCCGCCGGCCGCACCGCGCTCGATCTCGCCCACTCGCTCCGCTCCGGCCGCAAGTTTGTCAAGGCGCTTTCCCGCGCCTCGCAAGAGAGCCAATGCCCGAACCCGGCGCCAGTCTCCGACCCCGCTCCGCCGGCCGACTCGCATCTGGACGTCGACGGCCGCCCGCTGCCGCAGCATTGGTCGCGCAAGACTCACGATGACGGCCGCCCGTTCTATGTTGACCACGTGGCCAAGGCCACAACCTGGATCTCGCCGCTCGCGTCGCAAAGCGAGGCGGAAGTCCCACCGCAGCCAGTCCGCAACGACTCGCCTGAGCCCGATCCGGCCATTGACTCGTCGTCGCACGCCCCCAGTCCTGCCCGCGTCGACGTCCGCACCATCAGCACCGCCTCGTCGCCGCTCGCCGAGCAGGAGTCTGTTGTCCGTGTTGACGAGGCCGCCAAAGCTGCCGTGGCCAGCGCAAAGGCCGAACAGCTTGCGCGATCCAATGCAGAGCTCGCTGCCGCCAAGGCCGAGCTCCAGGCTCGCGTCGCTGAGCTCGAAGCCCAGGTCGTCGCCGCCAGTGACGCTAGCGCCAAAGCTGCTGCCGCAGCAAAGGCCCGAGATGCCGCTGAGCGCGACGCTGCAGATTTGGCCGATCAGGTCGAAGTCTTGCGCGCCAAGCTCTCGTCTAAGACCTCGCTGCTGAAGCAGCGCGACGCGGTTCACCGCAAAAAGCTCGCCGCGCTCGACAGCAAGCTCGCTGCCGAGCGCAAGACCTGCGCCGACGCCCAGGCTGCCGCCGCCGCTGCCACCGCCCGCGCCGAGATGGCCGAAGACGACCAGGCCGGCACAGCCGATCTGCTCGCTGCCGCGAACGCCCGCTGCGCCGATCTCGAGCGCGAGCTTGCTACCGTCCAGGACTCACTTGCCGCCGCCCGCGTTGACGCCGAAAACGTCGCTGAGGCTCGTGCTGCCGCCCGCGCTGAGCAGGTGGCTGCCGCTAACGACATAGTCGCCGAGAAGCTCCGCGCCGACTTGGCGGCCGCTACTGCCGCTGCTGCCAGTGACGCCGCTGCTGCTGCCGCCGCCGCCGCCGCCGCCGCATCCCGCGAGCACGACCTCCAACTCGAGCTTGCCGCCGCCAAGGTCGCCCGCACTGCAGTCGAGGACCGCACCGCCGAGCTTGAGGCCCAGGTTGGCGAGCTTGAGATTGCGCTTGCCGCCGTCCGTGACAAGCTTGCCCTTGCCGATGCTGAGCTCAAAGTGGCCGCCAGTGCCCGTGTTGCCCACGCCGATCACTCCTCGTCGTCATCCTCCTCGACCCATCCTGCTTCTCCATCTCACGCTCCCTCACCCTCGCCATCGTCGGCGTCGGCATCGGCATCGGCGTCGGAGTCGTCTTCGGCCCTCGCCGACAGTGAGCCCGTCGCCGCCATGCCCTCGACGCGCTCGGTATCCGATTCGGACGCGTCAACGGCGGCCTCTTCGGTCGCTCCTGCTGCGACAGCTCCTACTCGTTCATCACCGTCGCCGGAGCTCGCCAGTCTTCAGGCTCAAGTTACCAGCCTCACAGCGACCATCGCCAAGCTCGAGGCCCGGGTCGGGACGACCGCAACGGCGCCGGAAGCGCCGGTTGTTGCCGTGGCGACGCCACGCGGTGTCGCCCAGCTCCAGCAGCGGATCGCGGTGCTTGAAGCTGAAGTCGCCGCCGGCGGCCCAGCGCGCCCGGTCCATCCGCCTCACTCGCCGGCGGCTGCGGCCTCGCCGCGTTCAAAGTCGCGAGCACTGCGGCGGGTGGTGCCGGCGGCTCAAGCGTCGGCCGAGGCGCCACCAGCTCGCAGATCGATCGCAGAGCAGCGGCGGCGCGGGTCCGGCACACGGTCGATGTCGCTAGCATCCGGCCAAATGGAGGCCGACATAGCGCGGCTAGCGCCACCGCTCCCGGACTGGCGAACTCCGCCGATGGCGCCCCGGAACGTTGGCGGGCGATGGAAGACGCCTCGCCGGACCACGCCCGGCACGTTCCAGGCCCGCTCTGCCCGGCGGCGCAATTTGCGTGGCGACGATCTGGTGCGGGCGCACACACCGCTACGGATGGAACAGGCCTACGAGCTCATGGTCGAGCTCATCTCGCCGACCAAGGTCGGGAGCGCGCTCCTTGCACGCTCCTCGCCGTCGTCAGCCTCGCCGTCGCGGCGGCGTCCCTCGCCGTCAGTCTCGCCAACCAAGACAACACAGGACCTACCGCCGCCGCCGCTCAACGAACCCGCCGCCATCAACATGGACGCCATCGATGCCGCCATCGAGAAGATCCTCGCCTCGTGAGAGGCTGCTGTGGGTGACACAACCCACGTGCGGGTTTCGGAAATTTATTTTCTCCGCGGCATTTGCTCCCGCTCCACCCAGCTGGCCTCAAGCCCAGGCCGTCATGGCAAGCCAGCTACGCCTCGTCCACGGCTTCGGCGTTGAGGATAGCGAGCAGGGTGGTGGTGCCGTCCTCGGCCTTGGTGTTGATGTGGTGGACGGAGGACGGGAAGACCCCGGTGTAGCCCTTGACCGAGCGCATGGAGCCGTCGGGCATGACCCGCTCAAACTCGAGCGAGCCCGAGACGCCGAGCTTCTGCATCAGGAACGACAGCGGCGTGCCGGCCTTGCCCATAAACTCACCATCCATGCCCTTGGTAAGGGTGACCTTCATCTGGTTCGACGACGACATTTTTGCTTGCAAAGAGGTGTTGGGTCTGCTTAACCCTTAACGATACGGTCATTCGGACGCGTTGTCGCCCGTCTCAAAGTGAACAACACGATGATGCTTGACTTCCAGGTCACCTGGCCGACGCTGCGCGACGCCTGCTTGGTCTGCGGCTTGAGGTGGGAGGCGCGCCCGCACGTGATGGCGGCCGACACGTAGACGCCCGCCTGAAGAATGCCCGACCTGGGAGCATGGGCGATGCCGTACGGCGCTGATCCGGAGGTGCGGCGGGCGCGGACGGTGTGGAGTGCAGCCCCAGATTCGACGGAGACTAGAAGACAGACTGTCGTTATGACAAGGGGCGGATGATGAACATGTACACGCACATGCACGCATTCACAACATCCCACGCAATCATACCCCTCGATACGATGATCATCATCACCATCATCCTCCATCCCCCCGCCCGCCCGCCCGCCCGCCACCCGCCCCATCATCCCCACGATCACATCATCCCACACAATCATACCCCTCGATACGATGATCATCATCACCATCATTCTTCCATTGATTCCCCCAAAAGCAACCCAAACCGACCGAAAAGCGCCAAAAGCCGCAGGACGACCCAACACGACCACGACCACAGCCACGACCACAGCCACGACGACAGCCACGACGACCACGGCCACGACGACAACCACCACCACCTCACCTCCCCCAACCCACCCACCATGCAGTCGACCTACAACCGTACGCCATCACCTACACCATCCCCCTCATACCATGCCCATACCCCCCCCCCCCCCCCCCCCCCCTCCCCCCCCTCCCCCTGCACACACTCACACAGGTCGCCTTACATGCCTCCGGGGAGACAGTCAAGGTCAAGTGGGGCAAGCAGATGTTCGACGTGGAGGTGCAGACGAGCGAGCCTGTGACGGCATTCAAGGCGCAGCTGTACAGCCTGACTGGAGTGCCTGTGGAGAAGCAGAAGATCATGGGCTTGAAGGGCGGCAATGTCAAGGACAATGCAAAGTGGGAGGAGCTCGGCCTCAAGGAGGGCAAGAAGGTCATGCTCATTGGAAGTGCTGAGGAGATGCCGCCGCCGCCGACAGAGAAGGTCGTCTTTGTCGAGGACTTGTCCGTCGAGGATCAGGCTCGCTTGGCCGTCGTCAACCCGCCGGGCTTGCAGAACCTGGGCAACACCTGCTATCTCAATGCTACCCTCCAGTGCTTTCGAGGCGTGCCCGAGCTGGCTGCCGCTCTGGCAAAGTACGCTCCGCAGGAGCAGTCGCCCCCGGCTATGCTCACCGCTGCTATCCGCGGCCTTTGGGAGGAGGTCAGCGCGTCGACGGACAAGGTCGTCCCGCTCTCCTTTGTCATGATGTTCCGCCAGCTGCTGCCGCAGTTTGCAGAGCGCGCCCAGAACGGTGGCTTCAAGCAGCAGGACGCCGAGGAGTGCTGGACCACGCTCCTCTCCATGCTCTCCACCCAGCTCCCGCGCAACGCCATGGACAAGCTCTTCATGGGCGAGCTGACAGAGACCATGCAGTGCCTCGAGGCTGCCGACGAGCCGCCCTCGGTCCGCACCTCCACCTTTGGCAAGCTCACCTGCAACATCACCGCAGACACAAACTACCTCGTCGAAGGCCTCAAGGCCGGTATGTCCGAGGAGATCGAGAAGAGCTCGTCGTCGCTCGGCCGCTCAGCCCTCTACCTCAAGAGCGCCGCCATCTCAAAGCTCCCCGCATACCTCACCGTCTCCATGGTCCGCTTCTTCTGGAAGGCCAACGACCAGGTCAAGGCCAAGATCCTCCGTTCCGTCAAGTTCCCCATGGAGCTCGACGTCTTTGACATGTGCTCGCCCGACCTCCAGGCCAAGCTCCGCGTCAACCGCGAGGTCATCCTCGCTGCCCAGGAGGCCGCCACAGAGGCCGCCCTCGACGCCCGCGCTGGCTCCGCCGCAAAGGACAAAGACGACGCAGAGGCTGCTCCTGCCGACGACGAGCCCGCGCCCATGGACGTCGCCGCACCCTCCTCCCTCACCCCGTCCACCTCGGCCGATGCCGCGGCCTCATTCCCCTACGCCCCGCTTGACATCGACAACATGCCCGACCTCCCCAACAAGACTGGCATGTACGAGCTCTGCGGCGTCGTCACTCACCAGGGCCGCTCCGCCGACGCCGGCCACTACGTCGGCTGGGTCCGTGACGCTGGTGACCGCTGGATGAAGTTTGATGACGACGTTGTCACTGAAGTCTCGCCCGACGAGATCCTCAAGCTCTCCGGCGGCGGCGACTGGCACGTCGGCTACATCCTCCTCTACCGCTGCCGCCGTCACCCGGAGCTCGAGTCCGCATCCGTCGATGCTCCTGCCGCCTCGTCCTCGTCGTAGCGCCACCCTCCCCGACCCATAACACATCGTTCAATCCGTGCTCGTAGAGCCATCAACCACACCGCCCTGCGCTGGGAGTCTGCAACACATACACTCGCCCGCCCTCGCACACAACCCCGACCACCACTCCCATCGCCGCCACTCCGACCACCGCGTGGTCAAAGTCAAACGCGCCCACCGCCCGCCCCCCGCCGCCGTGCAGCAGCACGCCAGTCCCGCCCTCGGCCACGCTCACCACCATCTGCCCCTCGGCCACGTCGTCAGCGCTCGCAAGTCCGCAGCTCTCCAAGTCAATCCACACTCGGCCGTGGTCAACCAGCGCGAGCCGCCCATAGAGCGAGATCACCTCTACCCGCGGCCCGCGCGGGACCACCACCGTCGACGTCCAGCTCCGCAGAGCGCTGCCTCGACTTGCCCGCCACACACGCACCTCGCCGGTCACACTCCCGGACACGGCAACCGTCCCGTCGTTCCCGACAGCGCATGCCACCACTCCGCCGCTCCCGCTCGACAGCGTCGCCAAGGAGGCAGCCCCGGCCCACACCCGCAGCGTTCCGTCGTCCGACCACGTCACCGCGCTCTCGCCATCCTCGAGTAGCACGCCGCCGCGGACCCAACATCCATGCCCCACCAGCCGCCACACCGCCTCGGCTTGCCCAACCTCCCACACCGCAGCGACTCCGTCGCGCGAGCACGAGATCAGCCGCTCGCGCCCAGCACCACTCCCGCGCCCAAACGCAACGTCCGTCACCCATCCCGAGTGCGCCGCAAGCACGTATGCCTCCGCTAGGCCAGACACAGGCCAGACCCGGACGACACCATCGGTCGATCCCGTGGCGCACCACCGCGAGTCGCTGGAGAACGCAACCGCTGTCACTGGCCCGTCCGCGCCCGATGCCCGGCGCTCCACCGTCCACCGTCCAGTCCCGGCTCGCCCCACAACTTCTTCGCCCGATGGCAGGCCGCATACCAGTGTCGCTCCGTCTGGCGCAAGCCGGATCGGCATGCCCTCCTCGTCGCGCCCAAACAGCGCGTGCACCTCGCGCCGCGCATCCCACTCCCACACTACAAGCGACCCGTCCGCATATCCAGCATATGCGCGCCCATCCCCCGATCCCACATCCACAGACCGCGCTGCGCTCCCATTGCCCAGCACGCCCACAAGCTCGAGTCCGCCCGTCCGTGCGCCGCGCCACACACTCAGCGTCCCGTCCAGGCCCACCGCCACCGCCGCCTTGCTCCCGTCCCGTCCAACGCTCCATCGCACTCCGGTGACCCAGTCATTGTGAGCTCCCGCGTACTTGCCCACAAGCGTCCCAAGCGCCTCAGCGCGTAGATTCCACACGTACACGCTTCCATCTGAGCATCCCGACAAAACTTGCCATCCGTCGCCGCTTACGTCGAGCGCCATGACAAACCCGCCGTGTGCCATTCGCGCAACCTCGCCAGACAGATCCTCACGAAGCGCAAGCAGGTTCGTATCCTCCGAGCCAGAAAGCACCACGCAAGCCGCTGGAGAGTGTGCCACCGCCCGCACCACGTTCTCGTGGACAACTGCATCGCCGACCAGCGAGGCTGCAGCCTCGCGCTCGCGCTGCGACACAGACACTGCATGGACCGCCACTCGCCGATCGTTTCCGCCAGACACAAGCAGGCGGCCCGAGACAAACAGCGACCGCACGTCTTTCTCATGCCTGTTGAGACTCATCAAACATGCGCCGCTTGCCACCTCCCATACTCGGATCGTCGCGTCGTTTGAGCCCGAGAACAGCAGCTCACCCGAGCCGAGCCACGCCAGCGCCCGCACCCATCCAGAGTGGCCAGCAAGTACCCGGATGCACGCCCCGCCCACACTCCAAACCCGTACCAGGCAGTCGGTACCGCCACACGCCACCAGGTTGTCGCCGCCGTCTACCGCCAGCACCGCTACAGCATAGATCCAAACCCGTTCACGAGCAAGCGCCACAGGCGCCTCGCCGTCGCGCTCCAGGTCCCACACCTTGATCCGCGCGTCGGCTCCGCCCGACACCACAAACCGCACAGAGCCAGGTACGCCCGCAACAGCTCGGACCCACCCCTCGTGTCCCGCAAGCTCGCGGACACAGACTCCGCTGCTAGCCTCCCACACGCGCAGCGTTCGGTCGTTGGAGCCGGTCACCACAAGCGTGTCGTCGCCCGCGAGCGCGATCGTCCGCACAACCTGCGAATGGCCAGCAAGCACCGCCACGCACGTCTGGTCTGCCGTCGCCCACACTCGCGCCGTCTTGTCGTCGCTCGAAGACACTAGCCTCGACCCGTCAGTCGAAACCGCGAGCGCAATGACCGTCTTGCTATGCCCAACAAACCTGCCGCAGGCCTCCAGCGCCACAGCCGGCACTTCAACCACACGCCACTCGCGAATAACCTTGTCCACCCCGCCAGAGTACACAACTCTTCCCGATACAGCCACAGCTCGGATCCATCCGTCGTGTGCGGCAGGCAAGATCGCGACGCTACTCTCGCTGCCTGTCTCCCACACTCTCAACGCGCTGTCATTGCCGCCCGAGACCATCGCCTGAGAGCCACTCAGCCATAGTGCTGCCACCGCTTGGATCCGGTCGGTGTGCCCGCGAAAGACCGCCAGCGCCGCACCAGACATGAGCGACCATGCCATGACTGTGTGGTCGCCCGAGCCCGAGTATACCACCGTCTCGTCCGTCGAGAGTGCGAGACAGAGAACATAGTAGCTGTGCCCTCTCAGGCAATGGACCTGCATTCCGGATACAAGATCCCACACCCGGACCGTCATGTCCTCAGATCCCGACACGGCCGTCGTCCCCGACCTCGTCACCACAACCGCACGGACCGCTCCCGTGTGGCCCTCCAAGTTCTGCACGCACGCAGCCTTGACACCCTCCAGCTCGCCGGCAACAAGCTCAACTTGCGACGCTGCTCGCGCAGCAGCCACCAGCGGCGCAAGCAGCGGATCACTCACGCCGACCAGCCGCGAGTACACTTGCTCCGCCACCGTCCTGCCAAACGCCTCGGACCGTAGCGCCGGTGCAGAGTGTGCAAGCGCAATCGCAAGCGCCTCTAGCGACTTGCATGCCTCCTTTCCCGCCGTAGCATCCACTCCAACTTGCAGGTCCAGTAGCAGCGCCGTCAGCGAGTTGGCCTCAATCTGCGCCACAACCCACTCGAACGAGACCAAAAGCGCTACTACACGTTCGTGCCCGCGCGTTGACCGCACAAGATGGTGCACCAGAGACCCAAAGTAAAAGCTCCGCTCTGCGCTCGGCTCTTCAGGCGCAAAGTGCCACCACGGAAGCCCGGCATCCGTCGCCGCAAGCTCGGCGGCCGAGCTCATCCCCGCATAAGCCGCAAGGAGCGTATCGTGAGCTCGCGCCGCCGCCATGCCGCTCACGTGCGCCTCCAGGTACGCCGTCTGCAGCTCGGGGAGCGCAATGGTCCCAGTCTGTGGCTCGAGCTCGACAAGCGAGTGATCTGCAAGCGTGTGGACAACAAACCCGAGGTCGGCCTCGTTGAACGGCTCGGCGAGCCTGGACCAGAGAGCGAGCAGCGGCCGCCGCGGCACACGTTGCCCGAGCCGCGCAAAGACGACCAGATCGTGGAAACGATGTCGGAGCGGGCCAACCGCGGCAACCGAGAGCGCCACTGACGAGTACAGCAGTGAGAGCTCGGAGCTCAGCGCCGACGCTGTCGACGAAACAAACGACGCTGCCACCTCGGCCCACGCATCCGCGGCTGCCTGTCGCCGCCGCACCACAGAGCCGATCATAACCACAGCCAGCGGAAGCCGCGCTGCCGCGTCAACAAGCTCGGTCGCCAGCGGCTGCGGCAGGTCGCTGGTCTCGCACCGCGCTGCCGCCGCCAGCAATTCCAGAGCGCCCGCAGTCGTATATGGTGACAGCGTGTAGCTCGCCACGCCCGGCGCAGGCCAGAGCGCACGGACCGAAGTAGTGAGCATCAGCCGCGAGTCGGCATTGAGCACATCAAACGCCGCCACGTGCCGGAGATGGTGCACGCCATCGAGTACCACAAGCTTGCGAAGCGAGGCCGACGCACCAAACGCTGCCGCCAACTTGGCCCGGCCCTCGGGTACCGACGCCACCGCCGCAACTCGCGTCACTCCCAGCTCGTGAAGAAGAGAGAGCTGAAGCGCCTCGATCGCGGGATGTGCACCTAGGTGGATCCAGTGAATGCCGTCCGGGAACGCCCGCCGCACCTCGGCTTGCCGAACAACGTCGCACGCGAGCACAGACTTGCCAGCCCCAAACGAGCCGTAAATCACCAGCGCCCGGGTGTCCGGGTTCATCAACACTGCTGTCGCCGTCTGCATCTCGTCCATCCGCTTCACATGGATGGCTGGCATTGACGGGACAGACGGAAAGACGTGCCCGATGGTAACAAGCTCGCCACAGGCCTTGAGCGCCGCGGTCACGCTCGCCATCGTCGGCCGCACACTGGGATCTGCGGCAGTGCACGCGCTAAGAAGATCCTCGAGCTTGGCAGCCAGCTCGACAGGGAGCGCAACTGCGTCAGTGATGGGCCTGAGTGGTGCGTACCAGTTGGTACGCCGATCGACGCCGACAAACGCGCGCGTGCGCGCAAAAACCTCCCAGGTCAGCACACCAAAGGCAAAAACATCAGACTCTGGCTGCGGCGTCGCGTTGCCGTCCAGCAGCTCAGGAGCCATGTATGAGATGGTGCCTTGCACCCCGGCCGGCCGCGCAAGATGTACCAGTCGCGAAAGGCCAAAGTCGGCGACCTTGACCACCCGCATGTTGCGGTCGAGCAGGATGTTAAGAGGCTTGACGTCGGCGTGGACCACGCCCTTGCGATGGAGGTACTCGAGGCCCTGCGCGATCTCGGTCACAATGAACAGCGCGTCGGCGAGCGAGATGACTCGGTCCGACGACTTGAACAGCGCCGTGTGCAAGTCGCCGCCATGCATCAGCTCGGTCACCATGCACACGCACTCGTCATCGAGGCATACGCCTAGCAGTTGCAGGCAGTTGGGATGCGAGATCTGCGCCAGGATCCGCGACTCGGCCAAGAGTGTCCGCGCCAGCACAAACGGCGAGGCCACGCTCGCCTTGGCGCCCGCTGGCAGGCTCAGCTTCTTGGCTGCAATGTCGGTCCCACCCCAGCTCCCGGCCCAGACTTGTCCAAACGCGCCGGCGCCAAGCAGAGACGTCAACTCAAACTCGGTCGCCGGGATCTCATTCAGGCCGGCCAGCGGCGTGCCTGCGGGCGAGTCAAGGACAAACGACGAGCTTGCCGTGATCTCTGCCCCAATCCCTGCCGCTCCCGCAGCCGACGACGCGAACATCGGCCCGCTCTCGTTCGGGCCAGACCGCGACGCTGCAGAGATCGCCATCGGCGACACAAGCGCCGAGATCGAGAGCGGTTCGGTGAGGGTGTACGTCGACGAGTCGGTCACGGTCATCGCCATCAGCGACGACCCGTCCGAGGTGAGCGTGTTGTCGCCGTCGGTCAGCCGAGCACCAGCACCAGCACCAGCACCAGCACCAGCACCAGCACCAGCACTAGCCGGAGCCCCGCCTCCTCCACGTGCCGAGCTTGTCTCCGAGTACGGATACGATGCAGCCGAGTCGGAGCCTGTGCCCCTTGCCCCGTCGGCCTCGTCCGCTCCCTCGGTCTCCGTACCTGACCTGCTCCAGCTTCCTGTCGACGAGCCCGAGTCATTCTGCGTTCTTCCCCCGCCTCGCCTCTGACGCACCCTCTTGCCTCTACGCGATGTCTGCATGTGAGGGAGAGACGAATGTGTCTCCATCCCCATGCCCATACCATCCATCCACACCTGTCGTGGCTACCCGCAGAGCCTTGATCTCGCCTGATCGCAGCCTGATCGGTGAGTTTCGCCAGCTCCACTGCGGCGCGACGCCGACCACTTGCACAGGCAAAACAGAAGCATGTACACGTCGATGAGCAGGAAATTGGGTTGGCATGTAGAAGGGTTTGTCAGAAACATGGGTATGCGGTTAGTCTTTGTATTGCATGCGTATTCCGGTCTGTGTGAGTGGGTTCTTTGCCACAGAGTGGCGGACGAATGAAGTCGCTCTGGCAGAAGGTCGCAGTTTGGCCGGCAGCCGACAGCGGCACCCAGAAGCAAGCGGATGGGCACAGGCACAGGCACAGGCATAGACACACGTCACTCCCAGCTGGACGGTCTTCGGACACGCGTGGATGTCTGCAGACGAGACAGAGGTTGTTGGGGGTGGTGGCGGGCCGAGGGAAGAGGCGAGCGGGGAGGGGGGTGCCGGGACGGTGGCCGGCGAGGCGGGGGCCGTAGGGACGGGCATGTCGCTGGCGGAGGACATGGTGGGGGCGACGTTTGAGGTGCGCCCTGTGTGTGGGGAGCTGTTCACAGGCGAGCTGTTTACCTACGATGCGAGGTCTGGCATGGTGGTGTTCCAGGACGCGAGCAGGTTCCCCAAGCGCAAGCTCGTCCTCCTCCGGGAGGAGGCCATCGCGAGCATGGTCCTCCTCGCTCCGCCGCCAGAGGGTCTGGCCGACTCGCTCGGGGCCCTGCACGCGGCGCATATGGCCACCGTCCACACTCCGCCGGAGACCATCCGCAAGCGGGAGACCGCAGCTCTGAGGGCAGACTACGCGGAAGCAGACAAGATCGGCGTCGGCGTCTCGGCGCGCGCGCAGGCCGTCTTCAACGTCCTCGCCAAGACCGGGCCAGCCAAGTGGGACGGCGAGGTCATCAGGATTCATGACGTCACCATTGCCCCGCCGTACGCTCCAGACGATGCCCAGGGGCCCAACGCCCGCTCCCGCGACCGCATCCGCCTCATCCTCAACAAGGAGAAGGCTAAGATCGACGCTGCCGTCGCCGCTGCTGCCGCCGCCAGTGCGTAAAACGAGAGGAACCTTGCCAGCCTGTGCCATGCTCATCCAGCAAACACTGCGTCCACCGCTGCCTCGATGCGCTCAAACGAGGCCCAGGCAATAGCTGAGAGGAGGATCTTGCGCGAGATGCGCGGGGCGACGCCGCGGAAAAGTGCAGCCACTCGCTGCGAGAGCGAGAGGCCGCCGCCGACAAAGAACTCACGTGACGACTGCCCGAGATGGGCGCGCGTCCGCACCACATCTTGCGGATGGGTGACGACGACGGCAGCGGTAGCAGCCGCAAGGCCGAGGCCCAACGCGTGCACAAAAGCCGGGCGCTCGCCATCGACCGTTGTCAGCGATCGCAGCTGCGAGTAGACCCCGTAGTAGATGCCCGAGAACGGAACGTCGCGCGCAAGCGAGGCCGGGAGGCCGATGGAAAACGCCCGGACCGGATGCGCCCGCATCAGCGCCCGGAGGCCCGAGACCGTCGACGTGTACTCGGGGTAGAGCGACGACTCGATGCGGGTCTTGACGAGCGCCAGTGGGTTGAGCACCACCGCCACGCCTGTCCGCGCTCCGCTCGCCAGCGCCGTGGCGTGCAGCGCCGCCCACGGGCCCGATGCGTCGTCCGGTGGCGGCCACGCTCGCGTCAGGTTGTGGAGAGCGAAAAAGTACAGCCCTGCGCCCGGCATGGCCCGCGCCAGCGTCGCCCCCGTCCCTCGCCACAGCCCGCGCGCCGATCCGGCGTCGCGCACCACGCTCCGTGCCGCTTCCATAGCCGACACCCGCGCGCCCTGCTGCACCCGAGTCTTGATCACGTCCAGTGGCTGCAGCAGTGGCTGCAGCAACAACGACGCCCACCCGGCCGACAGCGCGCCTGTCACCAGATACGAGTACCGCACGCCGGCACAGGATCCGACGAGTCCGATGCCGCCCGACCCGATGCCGCCCGACCCGATGCCGCCCGACCCGATGCCGCCCAACCCGATGCCGCCCGACCTGATGCCGGTCGGTCTTGATGTGAGCCCTCTGACGCCATGGCTATCTGTACCTCGGCCTCGGTCTCGGCCTCGGCCTTGAATGGCAGCTCGATCAGTCCACCGCCAGCTCGGTCACACTCGGTCCAACTCAGCTCAGCTCGGCTCAGCTAAGCTCAGCTCGGCTCAGCTTTGGCTCGCCCCAGCTCGGCTCCGCCCTCTGCTCGATGAGTAAGCCCCTTGCGCACACAGCTCCTCCAGTCGCCTTCAGACTCGCTAGCCCGCCCAGTTGTCCGAGGAGGTGTGGCAGAGGTTGGCGGAGGGGGGTGGAGTGGACGGTTCCGCCGAGCCCGACAGGCCGTTGCGCCATGCTGCGTCAAGGTCGAGCCAGAGGGAGCACCGTCAGCCGGGAGCCTCCAGTCACTGCCCCACCGCCATCGCCCAACGCCCATCACCACCCATCACCACAACCGTGGCATTGCAGGACAATGAGTGGTCATGGGTTGCGTGTGGACTTTTGTGGCGGGCAAAATGAAAGCGTTTGCTCAGGGTGTGGGGATGATCTACACGGCCATGGCGCGCTGGTTGAGAACAAGGCCATAGTAGGCAGCAAAGCGGCCGACGAGGGCAATGGCCAACGAGATGAAGATGTTGGAGGCGATGGACATGTCGATGCCGTAAAAGTCGCGAATCTGTGACTCGGTGACGGGGCACTCCGAGTAGGGGATGTCATCCGAGGTGAAGCACGGGTACGCCTCGCCCTTGATCTCGTTGAGAAGCATGGCCTGGAAGCCGTAGAGGAAGACCGAGACGTAGCGGATCCACCTGATCCACGAGCCGAGTGAGTCGGTGGAAACGTAGAAGCCTGCGGTGAGGACCATGCCGAGGAGGACGACGCCGACGGTGACTAGCGCCTTCTTGAGCGTCATCACCGCGCCGATGAGCAAGCCGAGCGACTGCGCCGACATGACCTGGACCCAGAGGATGATGAGGTAGGTGAGGAAGGCGAAAAAGTCCGGCCGCAGGCCCGTCATCCAGTACACCACCGAGGCGATGACGGTGGGGAACGTGAGCGAGACCGGGATGTCGGCAAGCGACTTGCCGATGACATACGCGAGCGTCGTGTACGCTCCGGCTTGCCGCTCCTTGGAGAAGACTGGGCGCTCGGCGGGGAACATGATGAGGGTATGGAAGAGCGACTCGAACGAGAGGTAGAGGAGAATGAAGAACATGAGGCCGACACGGTCGTTGATCGTCGATGCGTTGTACGCAATGTTGTACCAGAGAACCGAGGTGATGATAGTGATGGCGGCGTACTGGAAGGTCTTGAGCTTGGTGAAGATGTCACCGCGCTCCTGACGGAACGCGCGCAGGGTGAGGAGCTGGACCTGGGTGAGGAACGAGGCCTCAAACTTGCGGCTGCCGGGCTGCCGCGGCGTGGTGCCGGGCGCCGCCACCGGTGCATTCGGCAGCTCCGTCGGCCGCTCCGGCCGGTACTTGACCATCTGCTTGGCAAACTCCTCGCCAAAGTTGTAGTCGTCGGCCACAATCGGTGACGAGACGACCTCGAGCATAAAGTCGGCCGGGTTAAAATGTGCCGGCGGCCGGAGCCCGATCGAGGTAAAGTACTCGACAACCCGCTTGGCCGGGCCAAAGTACGCCAGCTCGCCGCCGGCCATGAGCGCCACAAGGTCAAAGGCGGAAAAGATTTGCGACGAAGGCTGGTGGATGGTGGTCACCACCGTCCGCCCCGACGACGCCAGCACCCGCAGCTCCTTGAGGATCTTGAGCGCGGTCGACGAGTCGAGACCCGACGTCGGCTCATCGAGGAAGAGCAGTGACGGGTCAAACAGCATCTCGTTGGCGATCGAGGTCCGCTTCTTCTCGCCGCCCGAGACGCCGGGCGTAAAGCCGCCAAAGTTAACGCCGCCGATCTTGGTCTTACTCGCGTGCTCGAGGCCAAAAGCCTTGATGACCCGCTTGACCCGCGCGAGCTTCTCGGCCTTGGGCATCTCGCGCGGGAGCCGGATGAGCGCTGCAAACTCGAGCGTCTCCTGCACCGTCAGCTCGGTGAGCAGGTGGTCCTCCTGCAGCACATACCCGATCGACCGCTTGGCCTTGTCGTCGATGGGCGCGCCGTTGACGGTGACCGAGCCTGACGACTTGCCCGTCACCAGCCGCTGCGCCAGCACCTTGAGCAGAGTCGTCTTGCCTGCGCCAGACGGGCCGAGAATGGCCAGCACCTGCCCCGGGTACACTGCGCCTGACACGCCGTGCAGGATCTCCTTGCTCGCCCCGCCGCCAAGGTCCACCGAGTACCGTACGTCCGAGAACTCGAGTGCCATGGGCATGGCACACGGTTCAAGGTGCGACGTGTCCAGCTCAGCCTCGGTCGTCTCCAGCGCCGCAAGCATGGCCGCAACCTTGTCCGATCCGCGGTCCATCTCCACCGTCACGTGTCCGACCTGTCGCGTTTGGCCCGACCGCACAGCCTTGGCGCTCCGCTTGCGGCTCCGCCTGCCGCGCTCCTGAGAGGCAGAGCTCTCAGAATAGTACTCAGAGTAGTAGTACTCGTCGTCGCCCATGATGTTGCAAGAGTGTCGAGTCGAGTCTGTCGCGATCTGTTTGCCCTTGACCTCTTCCGTGGCAAGCCGCCTGCTGGGCCCCAATTTCACGACCTTTTTGGGTTGCCTCAGGCCTCCAATTGGCTCGGACGATGGTTTCCATTGTGTGTTTCGCCAGAAAAAGAGCAAGGCTCACTTGGCGGTGACGCGTGCGGCCATGATGACGCGCATCATGACGCGGCCCAATGGTGAGTCCTGACGCCCACTGCCGCGATCGTTGGCCTTTTAGGAGAAGGGGGGGGGGGGGGGGGGGTAGGGGAGGTGCTGGCTTGGGATCCGGTTTCCGGACAGAGCTCGATTCCTCGCTTGCAGCCCGTGCACGGGCTGGGCTGACAGCGATCACGCCGATCGAGGTCACGCTGCTAACGAGTGGCACCATCATGCCCCCCTCATGCCAGATGAATCATGGGCAAACAACTACGATGAGCCCGAGTCCGGGCCCGAGTCCGAGCCCAAGGTGGCACCCGAGTCCGAGGTGGCAGTGACGTAGGTAAAGTCGTCGGCGGCATCGTCGGTGGTGTCGTCGGCGGCATCGTCGGTGGTGTCATCGACGGGCGCGGCTGCTTCCGGCTTGGGCTTGAGCGGCGTGCTGGGCAGGAGCTTGGACTTGTTGGCAGCTTGATAGGCTTCAGGGTTGGCTTGGGCGAGGGCGACGCGCTCGCGGAGGACCTTGACGTTCTTGGAGCGGGCGACTGCGAGAGCGGCGCAGATGGCGACGATGAGCGAGAGCATGAGGGTGCCGAGAGTGGCGAGGATGACGAGGGTATTGTTGTCGGATGACGGTGAGAGCCCGTTGGCCTCAAAGCCAAAGGTACACTGCTTGCTCGCAGCCGAGCACCGGATGGCCGGCGCGGCGAGGAGCGAGCCAAAGGCGGTGGTGGTCGGCTTCTCACTGCGGGCGGCGGAAGCGATGGTGACACTCACACCAAAGTCGGCCGAGCCAGAAACCAGCTCGCCGGAAAAGGTGAGCCAGACCATGGGCGTGCCATCGCGGAGGCGATCGCGGACGGCCGGGGTAAGAGAGACAGCGACAGTCGCGCCGCCCGGCGCGAGATTGCCGGTAACAACCACAGGCGCCGCCGTCGCACCGGCATTGACCCGGGCGTCAGAGGCCTCAAACTCGATCCGTCCGCCACTCTCGCTCATCATCAGGCCGCCGTCGAGATTGGCCTGCCCCGCATCGCCCTGGATGGCGAGGACACCGCCGCTGACCTGGCTCGAGCCGGAGACGGTGAGCACTGCGTCGTGAACAACAACCGTAGCACCCGAGCCGATGACGAGTCTGCCCGAGATGGTGGCTGCCGAGCGGACAACGGCAACGTCGGCTGTGAAAGACATGTTGAGCGAGGCCAGCGAGGCCGGGACCAGGCACGAGAGCGCCGCAGACGGCGAGCCTTGGCTGGTACACGCCGGGGGCGGCGGAGCCGTGCCTGCTGCCAGAGCGGTGACGCTTGCCACCACAAGGAGGATAGCCAGTGTAGCGGAGGAGGAGGGCATGGGAGGGGGGGGGGGGGGGGGGAAGTGGTGTGGTGAGGGGAGAGGGGGGTGGCTGTCCTCGGTCGTTTGGGTGCGTTTCCCCTCTCTGCGCTGCTTGCTTGCTCTGAACCATGGACCTTGTTCATTGTCACCTCGGATCAAGGCTATTCATCGCGACGACGAGTCGGACGACGTGCCCACGACCTGATGATCGTCATCGTCGTCGTCGCGGCCGCCGCCAAGATTGAGCGGTGGGTCACAGTCGTACGATGACGACGAGAATGGCGGCGGCGGGAGGGCGGCATCGGCAATGGGTGGCGGGCAGTAGCGAGTGTCGACGTGAGGCAGCTGGATGGCGGCCCGTTGGGTGTCGAGGAGCGAGAACCATTGTTGCGAGGCCGAGACCGACGGCGAGCGCGCGACTCGCGGGACGGCGGCCGGCTCGCCGGCCACTCGGCGGATCGAGGTGGTGAGCGAGGCTGCGAGCGCGACCGACGATGCCGCCGGCGACTGCAGCAGTGCGCCGCCGGCCGGCGTCTCCAGATCCGGCACCGACGCAATCGACTGCAGCAGCGCCGTTCCAGACGGGCACGGAACCCACTCGGGGTGATTCGCCGCAAAGTTGACAAACGAGTTGAGGACGAGGTCGTGGTTGGCCTTGCCCGGCTCGGCGAGGGCAGCAATAGAGTCCGAAAGCGATGCCGCACCAACCTCTGTCACAGCCGCGTCTAGATCAAACCGTGCCGGCCGGCAGAGGTGGCCAAGGCCGCGGACCTCGACGAGATTTTCCTCAAAGAATCGGAGGACCTCTTCGGGCGTTGAGCCCATTGAGGCCGAGAGCAGGAGCCACGGCATGAGGACGACCGAGATGAGCTCCTGCAGAAAGAGAACGACCTTGTACTGGAAGAGCTCCGAAAACTGAGCGAGGACCTCACGCGTCCCAGCTCCGTGCTCCCACGCCGGCGGGAGGAAGCGGGTGTGCGCGGCGACGTCGTGCAGGGCCTTGTCGGCGTCGTATGTCACGTACGGCGCAGGGATGAACGACCGAGCCAACGCCAGAATTGCTGCGGCAGGCCCGAGGTAGAAAACAACCGACTTGTCGGGTGTGATCTCGAGGTTAAAGTACGCGTTCTGGTCAATGAGCGAGAGAACGACAAAGAGAATGGTGGCCGAGCCGACGAGGAAGGCCACAAACTTGGCGAGGGTAGCGGTGATGGCTGGCGGGAACTGCTGCAGGTAGCGATACGCCGGCGCGTGCGCTTTGTTAACGCGGTTCTCAAACTCGTGGAGCAGCTCGTTGTACATGCGGAAGATGCGCTTGGCGTACGGCGACCAGGCCCGGGCCGAGAGCGAGTGCGGGTTCGAGTGAAACTGCTCTCCGTACTTGAAGAAAAAGTAAAAGACAAGAAAGACAAGGATGAACGGCATGAGCACAAGGTTGACCACAGCACCGATCCGGAACTGGGTGCGGAGGCCGGCGACCAGCCGCGCTCGCCGCGACGCGCTCAGCGGCCCACTGCTCAGCACAGGGTGGACTCCGCCGCCCGAGCCCGAGAACACGTAGTTGAGCACAATGTGCCGGTAGTTGTAGTCGAGTGCCGCTGTGACCACCGGGTAGCTCTTGTTGAGGAACGGGACCTCGACAGGCACCCACCGGAGCCATCCCGCGTTGATCGGGTGGATGCCAAGGATGTGCGCCTCGTACAGCCCAAGCATAAAGTTCTCCTGACGCATGATGATGTTGGTCACGTCGAGTGCGTCCAGCGAGTCGACCGTCCGGATCATGGCGTTGCGCCGCTGCGCCGCAGACACTCGCGCAACCACCGCAGACCACGGCCGCGCCTTAAGGTTCCAGTCGCCGCCACGATCGCTCGCCTCGTACACCTCGGCCTTGTAGAACGCGGCTACTCTCCCCAGCAGCGGGAGCGAGACCACAAACCAGTACAGCGATGTCAGCCAATAGAGCGAGAAAAGAATGGCGCAGAGGAGCGCAAACGGATGCTTCTCGGGCGCAAACGACATGTAGTCCACAAAGGCAATCCGATTCTCGGCAGACAGATCGTCCAGCAGCCGGCCGTACTCGACCGCCATCGTGACAAAGCCAAAGAGAAAGATGACAAACGCAAGCGTGAGCAGATCAAACACCTGCTGCGTCACAATCGGCCAGTACCCAAGCCCCACGTAGTACAGATACGTTTGCTTGAGAAAGCCGTCCGGGGATGCGATGTTGGCAAACGGCGATGGACCTTGCCCGCCCTCGCCCGAGCCGAGCAGCGGCTGCCGGCCGCCGCCACTCTTGCCGCTCACGTCGCCTGCGGACATATCCACCAGCGGCATGTCTCCAGACTCCACCCTATGATACTCTGCATCTAGCATGATGTCTCGGTCCCACGCAGCCACTTGCCAGCTTCCACTGATCTGCCTTGTCTGGCTCTGTCTCTGCCTAGCCCTGCCGCTCTGGAACAATCGAACCTCTTTGCCGACTGCTCCGACCACCTGTGCCTATTGCAGGTACCGAAGGGGGGGGGGGGGAGGGGGGAGGTAGCGAAGAAGGTGTGACTGCTGTCGACAAGTGCGACGTAAGGTGGCGTAAAGAGGAATGTCTGATGTGTTAGGGGTGGGGGCTGAGGCAGTCGGGGGAGGGGAGGAACGGGGAGAGGGAGGTGAGGTTGGCGCGAGAGTGTTCCCTCAAGTGACATTTGTTACGACAAAGAGAAGGAAGTGGGGGGAGAGGGGGGATGGGATGGGATGGGATGGGGATGATCAGAATATATGGGGTAAGAGCAGGCGTAGAGATTGGTGCGATGGAGAAAAGGGGATGTTGACGGGTTGATGGAGATGGAACGGGAGGGGGGGGAGGAGGGAGGGAGGAGGGAGGAGGACCGAGAGTTTGATCGACAGCGGCTGGAGGACACGACCTGGCCGCCACCGAGCCGACCGTCGACGGCAGCCAACGCCAACCCCACCCATCCCACCCCACAGCTACTACCCCACCACCACCACCACCACCAAGCACACACGGGGACTCATCATGGCGGACATCCCCTCCGACCTGATGGACAAGATCAAGAAGACCCAGTCCACCCTGGGGAGGGTCATTAGCGTA